AGGAAAGGTTTATCTATAGAAGGAAGTTTTCTTTGTTGGTTACCAGGGGTGGGAGGGGAGGAGAGGCAAGGCTGTTAGATAGATAGAGATAAGTATTGATTTGGGTGAAGAGAAGGGCAATGTACCAAATGGGAGTGATCAACATGACGGCATCGAGGAAGAAGAAGACATAGAGAGGTACACGGGAGGTACAGATAACAAATATGAACCCTTTTGCACATACAGTACTGCATTGTCAATGAAGGCAAACATGGGTATATGGGTGGATAGATGGGTGGACAGGCTAAACGATTAGGTATGTCTATGAAATGGGGAGGGTATCCAAGAACATATATAGTGTTGGCAGACAATGATCCTATAAGTTTATGTGAATGATCAGAATTCCCAGGTGTATAGTAGAGCTGACAAGGGGCAAGGTTGTGATCACTACTTGGTCACAGCCAGCTACCCAGAGGGACCAAGTAGTTGAACCTGAGGGCTTGGGACCATAGTCACAGGGGACATCAAGCTCAATTGGCATAAAATACTATACAAAACATTGTTCCACCTCCTACTTTGGCAAGTAGTGACTGGGATCTGAAAAGCTAGCAAGCTGCCATCTAGATGCAATGATGGGTCTCTCCTCATCCAGAGCAAAGAAGAATGAAGAAAACCAAAAGTCATGGAAACAATTAGTCCTAGTGACTGGTACACCATCTGATCTGCAGCCTATATGACTATGAGACCAGAAGAACTAGATAGTGCCCAGCTACCACTGTCATCCACTTGGAAGGGGATCTATGTAGGAGACCCTTGATAGAGAGGGAGAACAATGTGGAACAAAACTCAAAATCATTTGGAGAAAAAAAAAAAGGTGGGGACCAGGTTTGCTGGTCCGATAGAGCCTAGTGGAACCACTGAGACTATGGCCCCTAGCTGCCCTTCAGGTCTGGAATTGAACCCACACCTGTGGTTTCCAGCCAAACAAAATACAGGCATATGAGTTGAACATTTACTTGAGGTAGATGCACTCCTTGGAGAGAACAATCATGGGAGAAAGAAGGGCTGCTTATGCACAGGGAGACAGCTCAGGGAGCAGGAGTGTATGAAGGGATGGACACTGGGAAGAGGTAAGTAACTATTGGGAGGAAGTGGGAGGGGAGCTGTTGCATTGTGGTAAACTGTGGTCAATGGCATGAGACAAAGTATATGTGAACTGCTATACGGAAAGTGAATTTTCTCTGTAAATCTTCACCCAAATCACAATAAAAAGAAAAAAAAAAAAAAAAAATAAAGCTAGGAGTTGGCTATATCACCTGCAATATTATATTCTGGCCACTAAGATTAAATAGTTCCTTCCTCTTCTTTTTAAATGAACTTTTAAAAACTGTGATTCCTCTTCCAACTCTCCTTTTAATTCAGGGGAAGGACAGCTTTAAAAAGCTTTGTTGCCACACTTGAAAGCAGATGTTTGGAAAGTGGTGTCGTTGTTAGGCATAGAGTTGATTCTGACTCGTACTCACCCAATCACACAGAGTTGAATTGCCCCACAGGGTTTCCTAGGCTGAAATCTTTATAGCAACAGATCACCAGATCTTATCTTCCACAGAGCCACTGGTAGGTTCAAACCACCAAACTTTCAGTTAGCAACTGAGAGCTTAACTATTGCATCACCAGGGCCCCTTCTGGAAAGTGGTATGACTGACAAATTTCACTGGACTTGACAGGTCCACTGAGGTGGGGGATGAAGCAGAGAGAGATGTCTATGTTTCTCTGTGGTGTCCAGAGAACCCCAAGAGGCCTGGCTGTTTAAGACACATTTACCTTTTCCTCCAGTTGGGAGCATCTCTTGTTTTGCCCCCCAGCTCCTTCTTTGGGGCACAGAACCCTATTTCGTTTGGTAATTGCTCCCCCCTCAACTCTAAGCAAAAAGCTGCAATTTACATGACTTCTGGAATTCTTCAGACTGGTCCAGGGTGACTTCTGGTTCAGGATGGGCCAATCAGAGGCCTTCCCTGAATTCTTTGAACTGGAACTTGGAAGGAAAAGTCTGCCCTTCTCATAATCTGGACCTTAAGATATAAAAATTGAGAGCTACTGGCAGTATGGTGGGCAATGTACTTCTATAGTGTTACTGCCTCAGAAACCCAAGGAGGGGTCACTATGAGTCGGATCTGACATGACGGCAGTGAGTTTATATGGCAGATGTCAGTCTAGAGTAAGAGACTATGAAGACAGAAATAAATGGGAGATGAAGAAACCAGAGACACTGGTGTTTCTAACATTTAGCTGCCCCCCTGCCCTTTCTGCAGTTTCCTTCAATGCATGAGATGCCCCAGTGTCCTTCCAGTAATGCCCTAGTGTCCTAGTTATCTATCATTGTATAAAAATTACCCTAACACTCAGTGGCTTAAAACAACAAACATTTATTATTTCACAGCTTCTCTTGGTCAGGAATTGGGGAGTAGCTTAGCTGGGTGGTTTTGGCTCAGGTTGCTGTCAAGATGTCAGTTTGGGCTGCAGTCATCTGGAGGCTTGATTGTGGCTGAAAAGTCTGATTACAGGATGGCTCTTGTCTTGGCAGAAGGCCTCAGTTCCTTGCTGCCTGTCGGCAGGAGACCTGTTTCACTGGCTGTTAACAAGAGGCCTTTTCCTCACCACTTGGACTTCTCTACAGGCTGCTTCTGTGTCCTCACGACATGACAGCTGGCTTTCCTCAGAGCAAGCAATCTAAGATTGCAAGCAAGGAGGGAGCCACGGTGCCTTGATAACCGTCTCTGAAGTTGCACATCGTCCCATCTACTTTATTCTATTCTTTAGAAGCAAATCGTTAAGTCTTTCCCACTGAGGGGAAGACAGTTGGTTCCATACACGTAATCACTGTGTATCTACCTTTGGGGACTGCTTTTGCTGATCACCGCCCTCTTGGACTCGCCATGGGTGTTTCCTTAGCACTACACTGAGGGCCATCCCCCGGAATGCCCAGCTCTTTCAGAGGTGGCTGGGGCCCTCCAGAGCCCTTCTCTTAGTTTTATCCCATTTTCTCAGCTCTGACACAAATGATTCTATTATATGTCAAAGGCAGTTTTGCTCTGGCAGGATACCAAAAAAAAAAAAAAAAAAAAAAAAAAAAACCCTTTCCCCACCACATATATGTAGGGAATATTTTAAAGCAAAAACACGGGTGCACAGTATGTGACCAGAACTGAGTATCTGTAACTTGTGCTGTTCCAAAAGTCTGAGGCCGAAGGTTGCTCTACTTACATACTCTCATTTCTTAGGAAGGGACCTTCAGAACCGATAGCGACCACTGACCTCCCTGGTAATCAGTTCCATAAAAGAGAAAGAAGAGTCTGAGGAAGAAGAGAGTGGTCAGTCTTCAACTGCTGCAGTGCTGAAGGGTCAGGGACTGAGAAAGGCAATGGACTTGTGCTCTCTCAGAAAGCTGTTCAGTGGAGAGGTGGGGGCAGGAGGGCAGGAGCCACCTTGTGAGGGACTGATGAACTAGTCATGGCTCTGACTTGCAAGCAACAAACCCCAACCAGGCTGACTTGAGCAGAATTTAGTGAAAGGATATGGCAGTGGTTGTGTAATTTCTAGGAACATTGGCCCAAATCACATTGCAGACCCAGACACTACAGCCACCACCATGGACTCCAAAGAAGAGTAGTTTACAACACCAACTCTGCTGCCACCACCACTAGAAAACTAGGTTGTGCCACCACAGCTGCCGGAATAAATGCTTCACCGCCCTTGCTTCTCTGCATCACTTGCTCACAATTCAAAATCCAGGGCAGGGCTGTCTGATTAGGTGAGTCTACATCATGTACCTGTGACCTGGTTGCAAGGGAGTCTGGGAAAGCAGGCCTTTGCAGTGTCTATAGTGGGAGGTGAGCTCTGCCTTCCACCAAGATGCAAAGGGTGGGGGATCCTCAAACACAAGTGTAGAAGGGGCGAGGACCCAGGTCCCAGCAGCCCTAAATCCCGAGGGAGTAAAACTAAGGAATTTTTCGTTTGGAGGGGAAGGGAAAGAGAAAGGTAAACTAAGGAAACAGCAAAACTAAAAGACTCTTTCTCTTTTCCTTTTTCCTTCCTTTCTCTCTTGCTCCTTCTTTCCTTTTTTTTTATTTGTTAAGGATTAAGGGGCCTGAGCAGTTTCATTGGCAGAGGGCAAAAAATAAGAATGTCTCATTGTTTAGTTTAACTAGTAAAGAATGTGTGCCCTGAGCACTGTGCTCTCTTAAGAATGACCTATGTGGGATCAAATTGACAGCAGCAACTGGAAAGATTAGATAGAAACCTTAGAGGGCAGTGAGTTTGTGTTAATGGGGGACGAATAATTCAAAAAAGGAGGAGAATGTGGTTGTACAACTTAAACAATATAACCAGTATCACTAAATTATACATGTAGAAACTTGTATTGGTGTATGTTCTGCTGTGTATATTCTCAAGAAAAAATCAATTACATATATATAGATATATAAAGATAAGGAGCTCTGGTGGCACAGTGTCTAAGGCATTTAGCCGCTAACTAGAAAGTTGGTGGTTCAGACCCACCAGCCACTCCTTGGAAGGAAGGTTGGGCAATCTAGTTCTATAAAGATTTACCGCCTCAGAAACCCAAAGGGGGTCGCTATGAGTCAGAATCAACTCGATGGCAGTGAGTTTGGTTTTTTTATAAAAAGAATGTCTCCTCACAAGACAAAATTAGCTGGCACTCCCTTCTGTCTCTGCAGCAGCGGGACAGAACTGTCCAAAGACAACACCACCTTGGAGAAACAACACTGCTTCTGGAGAAAGGAACTCGAAGCATCCAAATAACCCCTCTAAAGCTTCAGTTGTCTGTTGCTTTTAATTAACATCTAAATAGATAACATATTCTTTTATAATTATAATATTGAAATGTCTATGAACAAAATAGATAACTCTTATGGCAAATGCCCCGGAAAGAGTGGTGTCAGTCAAGTTCATCAAAGATTTTAAGCAGCAGCAGCAGCAGCAGCAGTGTGATCATCACATGTTCAGTGTTTGGGGACGGAGGTAAATATCCGCAATCCATGCATTCCTTTAATTTCTTCCTTTAGTGCCTGAATGAGAAAAGAGCAACATCATTCATTTTATATTTGACACTGATTACAATGTGCCTCTATTAGAGTATTTTAATATATAGCAATATGTATTATCTATATATTTGGGAGCTCTGGTGGCGTAGTGCCTAAACCATTTGACTGCTAATCAGAAGGCTGGTGGTTCAAACCCACCAGCTATTCCTTGGAAGGAAGACTGGGCAATCTACTTCCATAGAGATACCACCTCGGAAACCCAAGGAGTCAAATCAACTCGACGGCAGTGAGTTTGGTAATTTTTATACCTGTAGGTAACTTTGTACACACATACTTTGTGTGAGCATTTCTTTTTTTTTTAACCCCTTTTTATGGAAAACATTTTTTAAAATGTTTAAATACTTAATGTGGCTCAAAGGTCAAAAGGTATAAACAGGCATACAGTGAGGTCTCCCTCCCACACTTGTCCTCCACCTAGTTTCCACTCTCACCTTCAAATAGGAACTGTTATGGGTTTCTTGTGAATCTTCCCATGGATTTTTTTATTATATAGTCAAGCTAATAGGAACATATATTGCATACCATTACCTTTTAAAAACACAAATGTTACCAGGGGTGGGAGGGGAGAGGAGGGAACACTAAAATAATGAAATAAAAATAAATGTAAATAAATAAAAACACAAATGGTAGCATTGCAAATATACTGTTCTACAACATACCCTTCTAACCAATGATCTTGGAGATCCTTCCACATCAGGCCCAAGGAGCATCCGCACCCTTTTGAACTGACACAGTATTCCAGTGTGTGGATGAACTTTTAGACTGTTTTCATTGTCCTGCTATGTGAAGCAATGAACAGATGCTCTTTTTTTTTTTTTTTTTTTGTCACTTGAACATATTTTATTAAGGAGTTGCAACTTGTTGGAAGTAAACATACAACAGCTTACTTTTTTCCAATAACTGTCTTGAGCTATGCTTCATCAGTCACCTCCTCCCCACCCAATACAACTTGTCTTTCTTTCTTTTTATAATTTATTTTGTTGTTGAGAATATACACAGCAGAACATATAGTTTAACAGTTTCTACAAGTCAATAACATTGATTATGTTATTTAAGCTGTTCAACCACGCTCAACCTCCTTTCCTGAGCTGTTCTTCCCCCATTAGCATAAACTCACTGCTCCCTAAATTGCCTATCTACTCTTTTGAGTTGCTATTGTCAATTTGATCTCATATACTCTTTTTTCCTTTAAATTTTATTTATTTTGTTTTTGTTGTTAGGAATACACAGCAAAAATACAAATATATAAATTGTTCTTAAGAGCACAGTGCTCAAGGCAGACATTCTTATTAGTTAAGCTAAACTACTCTTTGGTTTTAAGAAGAACTTGAGCAGATATTATTAGTTTAAGGTTTAAAGATTATCTCCAGGCAGCCGTCTCAGGGGTTTATCCAGCCTCCATGGAGCCAGAAGGTCTGAATTCCATGTGAATTTGCAACCCTGAACAGATATTCTTTTGAACCACACCAATTAGCAAGAATTTCTAAATTTCACTTTAGATCAGGAATTAAAGTCACAAAGAAAGGAGACTTGCTTATGGCCACAGTTGGTACCAGAGCCCAGATCTGAATAAGTCACTGCAGTCAAACCAGTATTAGCCCCTGCAGTTGTTGGCAGAGTACAGTGCAGTGAATTACTTGGTATGGCTTTTCAAGCCACAGTCTTTGTTAACTCCCACCAGATTACTAGGTGGGACCATGCAAATAAGGTGTATGGAACTGTAATGAGGGGACTGATTAGTTTTGTCATTCTGCTAAGCTTAAAATGAGCCCTCCTAGAGGCCAAAGAGAAGCTCTGGTAGCGTAGTGCCTAAGGCATTTGTCTGATAACCAGAAGGCTGGCGGTTCAAAACCACCAGCCACTCCTGGGAAGGAAGGTTGGGCAATCTACTTCCGTAGAGATACTGCCTCAGAAACCCAAGGAGGGGTCGTTATGAGTCAGATTTGACTCGAAGGCAGTGAGTTTGGTTTTGGTTTTAGAGGCAAAAGAAGGGATCTCACTGCCATCAAGAGAGTAGAGCCAGAGGTAGACTGGAGCAAAGCTAGTCCTCGGACCCGAGATCCCTGAGCTGGACCTCCTTGGCAGAGATGCTTGGCAGAGACTTTGGAAAAGAGACAGCAGCAGTGGAACCAAGAGGCACCCAAGAGTGGGGGGCATGTAGGTGGACTTATTGGCAGAGCTCAAGGAGCTTTGTAACACTTGCCCAAGCAGAGGCCAGGCTGAGAGGATAAGGGCCAGAGAGGCACGCCACAGGGCACAGCAGAGAGGAGACTGTCCTGATCAAAGAACTGTATCCTGAGAGTGCTCCTCAACCTGAATTGTAGCCTGTTACTTTCCCCAAAAAAGCCTGTAATTGTGAGTATTGTCTGTGAGTTCTGTGTGGCCACTGCAACAAATTATCGAACCCATCAGAGAAGTAGTGAGTGCCGTGGGAGGGACAATTGGTTTCAGAGTTGGTAAAAAGGCTGGAGGGTGGGCATGTCTGGCCTCATAGAAGTGAACTTTGGGCTGCTGATGGTTATTCAGTCTCCCTCTTGGGAAGTTGAAGGAGGTCAGAAGATGCCACCTCCATGCCCTTCATGCTTTGAGAGATGGCTTCTAAGACCTGAGGGAGGCTTGCACCACTCAAGTTTATAATCAATGCACAGGAGATAACATCCTTTTATATTAGGCAAAAATCAGATAATCATAGCAAGGTAGCCTACTTCAGAAGAATCAATGGTATTGAAGGAAAAAGTCCAAGCAGCACTTGGGGAATTGGTGAAAAACAAGGCTTCAGGAATTGACGGAATACCCATTGAGATGTTTCAATGAACAGATGCAGCTCTGGAGACACTTAGTCGTTTATGCCAAGAAACTTGGAAAATAGCTACCTGGCCAACTGACTGGAAGACATCCATATTTGTGCCCATTCCAAAGAAAAGTGATCCCACAGAATGTGGAAATTATCAAACAATATCATTAACACCACATGCAAGTAAAATTTTGCTGAAGATAATTCAAAAACAGTTGCAGCAGTATATTGACAGGGAACTGCCAGGAATTCAAGCTGAATTTAGAAAAGAATGTGGAATGAGGGATATCATTGCTGATGTCAGACGGATCTTGGCTAAAAGCAAGGATTATCAGAGTGATGTTTACCTGTGTTTTATTGATTATGCAAAGGCATTCCACTGTGTGGATCATAACAAATTATGGATAACATTGCAAAGAATGGGAATTCCAGAATGCTTTAATTGTACTCATGAGGAACCTGTACTTAGACCCATAGGCAGTCATTCGAACAGAACAAGGGGATACCACATGGTTTAAAATCAGGAAGGGTATATGTCAGGGTGGTATCCTTTCACCATACTTATTCAATCTGTTTGCTGAGCAAATAATCTGGGAAGCTGGACTATATGAAGAAGAATGCTGCAGCATCAGGATTGGAGGAAGACTCATTAATAACCTGCAATATGCAGATGATACAATCTTACTTACTGAAAATGAAGAAGACTTGAAGCACTTACTGGTGAGGACAAAAAAAAAACTAGTCTTTGTATGGATTATACCTCAACATAAAGAAAATGAAAATTCTCACAACTGGACCAATAAGCAACATCATGGTAATTGGAGAAAAGACTGAAGTTGCCAGGGATTTCATTTGACTTAGAACTACAATCAATGCCCATGAAAGCAGCAGTCAAGAAATCAGATGTTGTATTGCACTGGGCAAATCTGCTACAAAAAACCTCCTGAAAGTGTAAAGGAGCAAAGATAACACTTTGAAGACAAGGTGTGCCTGACCCAAGCCATGGTACTTTCAATTGTTCCATATGTGGGACAACGAATGAGGAAGACTGAAGAAGAATTGATGTTTTTGAACTGTGATGTTGGCAAAGAATACTGAAAGTACCATGGACTGCCAGAAGAATGGACAATTCTGTCCTGGAAGAAGTGCAGCCAGAATGCTCCTTGGAAGTGAGAATGGTCAGACTTCATCTCAGCTACTATGATCATGTTGTCAGAAGGGACATGCTTGATAAAGTAAAGGATCAGCAGAAAAGAGGAAGGTCCTCAATGAGATGGACAGACACAGTGGCTGCAACGATGGGTTCAAGCATAGCAGGGATTGTGAGGATGGAGCAGGACCAGGCAGGGTTTCAGTTTTGCTGTACACTGGGTCACTGTGAGTCAGAGCTGACTCAATGGCACCTAACAACACAATAAAATTTATGCTGAAGTCCTAACCCCCTGTACCTGTGAATGTGACTTTGTTTGGAAACAAAACCTTTGAAGGCGTTGTCAAATTAACATGAGGCCATACGAGAGGTGGGTCCTACTCCAACTGAGCCTAACGCACTTGACTGCTAACCAGAAGGCTGCAGTTCAAACCTACCAGCCATTCCTTGAAAGGAAGATGGGGCAATCTACTTCCGTAGTGATACTGCCTCGGAAACCCAAGGAGAGGTCGCTATGAGTCGGGTCCAACTCGACAGCACATAGCAACAACAACATCTTTATAAAAGAGAAGAGATGCAGACAGAGAAAAGACAGCCAAGTGAAGATAGTGTTACGCCACAGTGGCAAGCCAAGGGAATGCCTGGGGCTTCCAGAGGCTGAGAGGGACAAGAAAGAATCTTTCCCAAGAACCTGAGAGAGAACATGAGCCTGTGCATACCTTGAAGTCAGGTTCCTCATCTCCAGAAATGAGACAATCAATTTCTATTCTTGTAAGAACCCACTTTGTGGTACTTTGTTGCAGAAGCCCTAGAAAGCTAATACAATGGGAAACCAGGGGACCCACTGAATGGCTCCAAGCAGCAGAAAGGTGTGGGTAGAGGTGCCCTGTGGGAAGGTGATCTGGCACAGGCGGGACAGATGCTCAAGAAGGGGAGAAGGCAACCAACGTTTACCAAATGCCTCCATGTGCCAGGCTCGAGGCTGGCATATAGGATCATGACCTCATGCAATCCTCACACCATCCCATGAAGCTCAGATCCCACCGCCAAGTGGGGAGCTAAGACTGAACCCAGTTCTACTCAACCCAAATGTTCACTTAGTGCTCATTCTGTTCCCAACTGCTGCCTCCCCAGGAAATAGGATGGAGCAGGGGATGCTCCCTCTGAAGGATACATTTGTCATCCTGACATGGGCTTGGGCCAAAGAAAATGCTCAGTGATTATGTCAGAAAGTGGCAGATGAGTGGTGGGATCAGGACAAAGCTAAACCCTATGAGGGGCCAAAACATGCAGGCAGAATCTCAAAGAAGCCACTGAGTTTACTCACAAGGGGAAAGCAGGTATGAGTAGTAATGGCAGGGGTTTCCTGTTCCCAGGTAATCAAGCAGGGACCATATGCTGAGAAGCTTAGGAGGAGATTCCAGCATCAGATGGACCAGGTGAACTTTTCATGGCCTTTTTCAACCTAAGACTCTTGAGTCTACAGCACCAGGATGAACATTACTAAGTGTAAGGGGGACTAGGCAAGATCAACTAGGAGAGCTTTGCTGTGGCCCAGGATACCAGCTCCTCACTCCTGCCAACCTAGACATTATGGATGGGCAATTACTCCTGAAGAAATTACTTACTCTGGACAAGACCATATCAACACATTTAAATACATGCATTAAAGTCCTAACAACGTTCTGTAGCTAATCACGGCCTCTATACAAGGTGAGGATCCAGGCCAGCGAACACACCAATGTCCAGCTCAGAGAGTCCTCTTCCTTGCCCACCAACCTGTCTCAGTGAATGCAGGCACATAACATGGGGATGGATGACCAACCAAGACAAGCAATGCTTGGTGGGAAAAGTGGTCCCTATAAATCAGAACAAGCTCCATGGCACTTAACTACAAACCAAAACAGCCAAACTCACTGTCATCGAGTTGATTCGTCTCATAGTGACCCCTCCCTGGGTTTCCAAGGGGGTATCTCTGTGGAAGTAGATTGCCCAACCTTCCTTCCAAGGAGTGACTAGTGGGTTTGAACTGCCAGACTTCCGGTTAGCAGTCAAATGCCTTAGGCATTATACCACCAGAGCTCCCAACAACATACTAACCCAGAAATCCCTGGGTGGCGCGGTTTATGCTTGCCTGCTTACCTGAAGGCTAGAGGTTCAAACCCACCTAGCAGCACCACAGAAGAAAGGCCTGGCAATCTGCTTCCATAAAGATTGTTGTTATTTGCCATCAAGTCGATTCTGATTCATGGCGACCCGTGTGCAGAGGTAGAATCGCTCCATAGAGTTTTCAAGGCTGTGACGGCTTGGAAGTGGATCATCAGACCTGCCTTCCTAGGCACCTCTGGGTGGGTTTGAACCACCAACTTTCCAGCTAGTGAGTGAGCACTTAACCATTTGCACCAGCAATTCTACTCCGTAATACGTGGGGTTGCCATGAGTTGCAATCAACTTGACAGCAACAGGTTTGGTTTTGTTGGTTTACAGTAGCCTCGTCTGTGGCTGCTCCAAGTGAAAAGCATAGATTTAAACTTAATACAGAGCAATACCAGGAAATGAATGTTCCAAAACAGAATGCCTTTCAGGCATTAAACATTTAATTTCTCTGTAAGCCAGTAACCAAACATACGCTTGCTCTCCTTAGAGTCTGCAAGCATGTAGTCACTCAACACATACTGACTGAGCTCTTTCTGTGTGGTAGGTCCTTTGCTAGGTATGTGTGTGTCCGGGAGGTACATGGGGTGAAAACAACAGACCCCGGCTCCACCTGCATGGAGTCTGCTTTCTAGGGGGACAACAGGCAAGCAGCAGGGTTTATCATGCAGTGGGTGTGTGCAGGACAATGATGGGGAGCACACAATCTGGGTTATAGATGCCCAGAGTAAACCTTGGGCCCAAGACAGTGCACATGACATTCCCTCAAATAAGGGAATCATTGCCCTCCTCTCACTGGACTTGGCCCACATTGTAGATGACAGTGATGATGATGGTGGCTGATCTTTATTAAGAGCATACTATGTGCCAGACACTGTTCTCAGTGCTCTGAGTGTCCTTCATCACCACTAATCCTCACAACAACCCTTTGAGGCAGGTACCGTTACTATCCCCCACGTTACAACAGATTAGGAAATAGAGGCACAGGGAGGATGATTAACTTGCCCAAGGTCCCACAATTAGAAAGCAGAGCCTGGATTTGAAAAGTAGGCACTGTGAGTCCAGAACCCACATCCTCAACTACTTGGAATGTGGCTTCAGGCCAGAGGCTGTGCTTAAACTAGCAGTACCCCTATGAGTCTGATCCCACCAGGTGGCTTGAGTAGTTTTGGGGACAAAAGCTAGAGTCCCATGGGTTGGGGTGATCTGAGTCAGCCAGGCCTTCCCTGTCTTATCTTGCACCTTGACTCAATCCAAAGATTATGTGGGGCTGGAAGTTTCTGGAGGAACAAGGTGGTTGCTGTTCCCCTCTAGAGCTCCAGTCAGACCACTAGCATGTTATAGGGCTGTGGGTGCCCATATCCAATGTGAAGACTGGGCTCCATGAGGAATCCACAGATGGGTCCAAAAGGGAAGCAGCCCACAAAGGGCTTACAGGTCTCGGGGCTAATGGCAGGGACATAAGTATCCAAGATCCAAGGCAGAAGATAGAAGATGCTGGCAGTCAAGTGAGGGTGCGAGAGGGTGGAAGGGCATTGACATCCCACCAGAGAGGTAAGGGAGGAAAGGCAACCCAGGCAGGAGGTCCTACTTGGACAAAGGCTCAGAAAGAGAGAGACTAGGAGCAGTGGCCGGCAGGTAGGGTGTGTGCAGAGAAGGGCGGGAGGCTAAGCTCTGAACAGCAGCCTTGGACACCTGAACTCCATGTAGGAGCCACAGAAACTCTCAAGACCCGTGCTGGACAAAATTAAACTAGTTCATAATGTGTAAGACTTTCCAGATTGACGTTAAACACTCCTGCTAAAGGGGGTTGGTGTTTATAGACACAGGACCAAGGACCGGGCTGGTATAGATTCCAATTAAATTAAGCAAGAATAACATATAAACGGGTCTAGTCTGGTTAAATATGGTGTTCCTGGCCCAAAAAAATGTTCTGTCACTGGGTCTGGGACAGGCGTAACAATTCTCAATCACGTCATGTTCCAATTTACCCATCTGTAAAGCTGTCCTCAAGAGAGGCTCAAAAATCCTCACACCTACAAAAACAGGTATTTTCAGCACTGCCTATGGTGACAAATACTATTTGATTCGTGACAGTAACAGTGAATACTGGCAGCGTACAAGGAAACGCAAAACAAATATTGGGCGGCTTGTTTTCAATTTTCACTAAAATTCGTATTTGCCCACAATCTGATCCCAGATAGTGACGGATCGTATTTTTCTCAGGTCTTGAATTCTGTTTGCATGATTGTGATATGGTGTTACAGATTGAATTGTGACCCCCTAAATTATGTGTTGAACCAGGGCTTCAAAACAGTTCAAAATGGGTCAGTAATTACTGTCGTAGACAAGGGCTGCATATACATTGCAACAGCAACCAAATCTGTTGCTTGTGGTATTTTGACTCGAGTAGGAAACAAATAGCTGTACCTTGCTCAAAGATGGCAGCCCATAGCACTGCTGTGAATGTGGGTTGCTCTCCAGAGTCCTGCCAATAATGTTGTTCCCCAAAAGTCCTGCACGGTCCTTCCTCCTGAAGGATTCAGGAGCCTGATGCAGGAGATAGATTAGTGCAGGCATGACACCAATTATTGAGCTGTTTTGAACCGGTTCAAAGTTCTGGGAAATCCTAGCCCCTACACCTTTAAATATAACCATGTTTGGAAATAGGGGTTTTCTTTTGTTATATTAATGAGGTTGTGGTAGTTGTGTGCAAACTGGGCTGGGCCTGGTTGAGTGGCTGGGCAGCTGGTGGTAGTTATTCCCCATGATGAGACTGGCAAGAGTAGGATCTACCACAAGCAGCTGAATAGCTGCTTTAAGGATGTGGTCTGCTTCCGTATATAAGAAGCAGCTTTGGGAATGGTCTCTAGCTTATGGCACACTTAAACCCTGCACATAGCTGTGTCCATGTTCAGCAGCCTGCCATGCTCTGCCAACCTTGGGACTTCCAATGGACTTGAATTAATGGCCTGCCATGTATTTTGGTAACATCGGGACTGTGCCTTTTTACTTGTCAACCTTGGGTTTGTCAACCTCAGCAGCCAGCAGCTGTCTGAGTGAAGAAAAGCCTCCAGCTTCAGTGGGCTGGGAGCAGGAAGCAGAGCCAAGGTTAAGGGGCTTTCACCCAGCCCCTAGAGCCTGGCACTTTGAACTCAGACTTAAAGCCTCCACACTGTAAGAGAATATGTTCAAGCCATCAAATGTGCAGTATATTCTTGTCAGAATGGCACTAGGTAACAAGAACAGAGGTCATACCAAAGTAGGCTGGGCCCTAAATCTACCACCTTCTGAGTAGTGTATTATAAAGATAGCAGAACAGACATGGACACACACACAGGGGGAGACAGATCCCATGAGAGGATTGTCTACAAGCAAAAGAATGGCAAGGATCGTTGGCAGACACCATAAAGGCCTCCAGAAGGAGTCAACACAGCCAATACTCTGATCTGGACTTCTAGTCTCTAGGCTATGAGAAAATAAATTTCTGTTCTATAAGGCCACCTCACTGTGGTATTTCTCTTATGACACCTCTAGCAAACTAAGTCATAGGGTGTTATTCTATCACAGAACTGACAGTAAGAAACACCATCACATTTGGTAGCCTTTCCAGATGCTGATGGCCAGAGGCTGAGAAGCATCTGTGCCTCCACTGACCTGGTTAACCATCTGGTGTTGCTGGACAGTTCTCTTCTCCTTAAAGTCTTCCGATTCAATTTGGATTTCATACATTGCCCCACAGCCTCCTAAAATAAACACGATTTGAAAGCATTTCGATTAAGTTACACCACAGTTCCACACGTCCTTGAAGTACCTGCACAATCCAAAGAAAGTCTAACTATTGTTACTCATCTAAAAGAAAGATGCTAAAATTAGTTAAGAAAAAGATCATTGCTGACACTCTGACTACAAACTCTCCCCGACAGGCTGCCTCAGTCCAAAATTTGCTCTTCCTTTTGCAAAGCAAAACTACCCAGGATTGTTACTGTGGGCAGGAATGGTGAAACACAGAGCAGGGGAGACATAGGAGATAGACAGTATTTTCTGTCACTAGGCCAACAAGTGCAGTGGACTGATGGACTGTTCAGTCCTGGGAAGGACTGAATTGTGGGGTTCTACCTTCTAAAGGACCAGCAACCAGTATTTTTCAAAGCACAAAATTACACTAACACTTCGTTTGAAATCGTGTTTGTAATACTCTCTCTGAGAAAGGAAAGGAACAAGGATGTGTGAGAGAAACGGGCACAACACTGAATAAAAACTATAACTATGCTGATTACAGAGCTGCTTGTGGCTCTCTCTAGCACTTCCTGGTCTACTAAAAAACAAAACAAAACAAAAAAACACAGTTCCATTGAGTCAATTCTGACTCATGGAGATGCCATGTATGTCTATGTCTGTACATCAGAGTAGAACTGTGCTCCACAGGGTTTTCAGTGGCTGATTTTTCAGAAGTAGATCACCAGGCCTTTCTTCTGAGGTGCTTCTGGCTAGACTCAAACTTCTAACCTTTTCTGGTTAGCAGCAGAGAACATTAACCATTTGTACCACCCAGAGACTCCTCCTGGTCTACAGAGCAGCTTTAAGTATTTCACCCTGGGCAGATTTCCTGAGGGAGAAGTTCAAGTGGTTCTCTAGGCAGTGTGTGGCGGGACCTCCCAAGCTTTGTCTTCACACAACTGGAGAGCTAGTGCCGAGGACTGACGGTAAAACATGCTGCTCAAGCACAAAACAATTTGGGCAAGAAAGACAATTTCCCCTGTGTCATTAATACCAGGCCATCGTGTGAGAGGTACAATTTACTCAACAGGTTTTGTTCTGCTTCTCTTACAATGTGCTCCAGGAGTCCCAGTTTCGGCTACACCAAGTTCCCTGCCCTTGACTCCTTTTCTGCACTCTGTTCAGTGCTGGGCAGAGCCAGACCAGAAGTCAAGTTCCAGCAGCTGCTGGGCTGGTGGCATCAAGGCCTCAGCCATGTCTGGAACCCCTGTAGAGCCCTCACCTGACCAATCATTCCAAAAGGTTTTTAGATTGATTAATTTTCTAAAGTTTCCAGAAGAAAGCCTTCTTTCTTAACTTTCTCCCAAATCCTAGTAAACATTTAGTTCTTAGTGCAGTCAGTGAGCCCTGTAGGAAATGCTGAGTGGCAAAGGCCACGTCAGAATGTGGGGGACTCAGGCTGATGCCTATCTAGCTGCCCCAGGGCCAGCGGTTCCGCGTGTGTCTCTGGATAAAGGCTCTATCTCCCTATTCTTCATTCCCCAGCCTGTTTCTAACACATGGCCAGCTCAAAATTCTGAGGTGCCAGTAGCTGCCTGGGAAAGGCAGGGCCTGGCTGGGGCTGGAAACTAGGCCCAAGATAGAATTCGGTTCAGGCTCTGCTCAGCGTCTACTGCCTTCTCCCTGTGAGGGGCTGGACAGGCCCATTAGCCTCTGGCTTGTCTCCTTGGAGGAAAAGGGGGAAAAATTAGACAAAACCCTCCTGCATCCACTTCACCTCTGACATTCTAGAGTGAATGAGGGGAATTAAAATGAGGGCTATCTCTCAGTCAAATTAAAGATTATGGATTTGACCATGGGGTAACTAGGAGGGGCCTCATCCTAGCTGGGCCAGACTGGTGACCTTGAATCCTGCTGGCTGGGACTCATTCCCAGTTTCCCGAGTATGTTTCTGAAGACTTACCTCCTCCCCTCAGGTGGGGAAGGCTGGGTTCCACCTGTCCGAAACCCACTCACGTTGAAAAGCCACTGACAGCACATCTGCCCTCAGCCCCTCCAGAGGGCAGAGTCACACCAAAGCTCCACGGAAAGGATGAGAGAAAACATTACCTGAAATGTCGGTGACCTTGATAGCTGTTGCTCGTGGAAACTTTTCTTTGAGAATTTGGGTCACTTTGAGCTCCCCCTCGGTCTGGGAGGCAAACATGCGATGTACACAGTGAAGAGGAAGCTGCCACCCAGAGCAGAGAGAAGAGTCAAGGCAAGGCAGGATGGCGCTGCTCCAGCTGGGGCCACTGAGCAGGCCCCACTTGCCATTTTGCTTGCAAAGCAGGACCTCTCCTCCACCCCTAGCCAACACCAGCCCAGGGTAAGTTAGAGGCGCTGCTTAAAGTCCGGTGTCCACTTAAGCTCTCCAGGATGCAGAATAAAGTTTTTGACTTTGTAATTGTAAACACAGGTAGTCCCCGAATTATGATGTATTCAAGTCGTGATGTACCAAATGTATGACAGTCTTCTTTTTTTAGTAATATGTACTACATTCAGAAGCCCTGATGGTGCAGTCATTTGGCTATTAACCAGAAAGTTGGCAGTTCAAACCCACCAGCTGATCCTTAGGAGAAAGATGAGGTAGTCTGCTTCCATAAAGATTTATGGCCTTGGAAACCTTATATGGCAGTTCTACTCTGGCCTACAAGGTGAATATGAGTCTCAGAATCGAATGGAAGGCCATGGGTTGATTTGGTACTACATACAGTATTGCAGCTTGTAATCAGTCAGCAAAGGTACTACCCCTTCACTAGCAACAACATTATTCTCAGATGTTCACTCACAGATGTTCAATGTTATAATTTACTATTCAAAATACTGCCATATAGCAGGTTACATCAGAACTAACTTAAGATGGAGTTGTCAGAAGGGAAGCTCAACATGAGTTGGGGACTACCTGTAACTCACTTTGACTCTAGAGACAACAAAGCCAAAACTCAAACTCAATAAACGTTTAACTCACATGATAAAGTGAGACACCACCATTATCACAGTTTTATAAGTGAGGAAATTAAGGCACTAATCAACGTGATCAAGGTTAGATCCACTTGAAGGCAGAGACCAGGAAGAACCCATACAGTTCACCTCATACAGGCTGTGCTAGGACACCATGGCTGCCCATCCACACTACCCCATGTTGGGGCAAAAATTCCAGCCACCTTTCAGGTCTGAGTAACATGCCACATCCTCCCCAATGGGATATGACCTGTGACTTTGTTGTTGTTGTTGTTGTTGTTGTTGTTAAGTGCCGTCGAGTCGTTTCCGACTCATAGCGACCCCATGCACAGCAGAATGAAACACTGCCTGATCCCGCGCCAGCCCCACAATCCCTGCTATACTTGAGCCCATCATCGCAGCCACCGTATCAATCCATCTCCTTGAAGGCCTCCCCCTCTTTCGTCGACCCTCCACCCTACCAAGCATGACATCCTTCTCCAGGGAATGGTCCCTTCTTACAACATGACCAAAATAGGTGAGACGAAGTCCGGCCATTCTTGCTTCCAAGGAGCATTCTGGCTGCACTTCCTCCAGGACAGATCTGTTAGTTCTTTTAGCAGTCCATGGTACTTTCAGCATTCTTCGCCAGCACCACAACTCAAAAGCATCAACTCTTCTTCGGTCTTCCTTATGCATTGTCCAGCTCTCACATGCATATGAGGCGATTGGAAATATCATGGCTTGTGTCAGGCGCACCTTAGTCCTCAATGAGATACCCTTGCTCCTCAGCACTTGAAACAGTTCCTTCGCAGTTGACTTTCCCAATGCTACACGTCTTCTAATGTCCTGACTGCTGCTTCTGTTGGCATCGATTGTAGAACCGCCTGCTCAGTAAGTCAGCTCCCCTTTGTAACCAGTACTGGCTGCTGTGGAGTCCAAACCGTGGGGTCATGGAGACCCCACGGTTCTCAGAGTAGAACTGTGCTCCATAAGGTTTTTAGTAGCTGGTTTTTCTGGAAGTAGATCACCATACTTTTCTTCCAAGGTGTCTCACGGCGGACTTCAACCTTCAACTTTTTGGTTAGCAGCCAAATACATTAAGCATTTGCACCACTCAGGTACTTTCCTACCCTTTGCACCAAGCACTAATTCTCACTAGGGAGGAGAGGCAGAATTCTATGAAACCAACTGAAGGACAAACAGTTTTAGATTATTTACTAATGGAAAGAGCCTCCCTCCCCTAGTCAATGGCTTCCATAGGGACCCAGTGCTTCTATTGGGAACGCAACTCATCCCGTAGGAGGGAAGGAGCGGTAAACCTAGCCGCTAGGCAGAACACATGCTGGAAAGGGAGAGACTTAAAATTGATTGTGGCAGGCCCTGAGTAGCAGGCTAAAGATTTTGGAATTTGTCATGCAAGTGATATGACCCCAGTGAAGGCTCTTGGTACTAAAGGTATGAAGCAGTCCCTTAAGAAGTTAAGTCAGGAAAGATGCAGAAATGACAGGCATCACAAAGAAAGAAGCTCCAGGTGTTGGTCCCTGACTGGATACCAATGGCAAGGGAGCCTGGGAGAATACCAGGGCTAGTCAGCAAAGGTACTAGCCCTTCACCAGGTACCACTCCTATGCTGCTACACCCGTGCGGTCCTGCCCATCCTCAGTCCTTTGTCCTATAATCCCAGGGCACCTTTAGAATTCCGTGTGTACCACTTCTCTTACCAGCTAATCTTAACAGCCAAAACGGAATCTGTCCTGTTAACTGCAGTGTTCCAGAGCAGCATCCAGGGCAGGCCCTTGGCAAGACTAGGTGATGAATGAATGAATGAGTAAGGAAAGAACAAGATTCAGGGCATGCCTATTAGGCATCCACAAAGATGTTTCTGATAGTGTGATAGGCAGACCTGAGGTCAGGAGAAAGGTGTGAGGTCAGACTGTCTGCTGTATCCAGGGACAGACCAGAAAGTTGCTGCTGTGGGTGTGCATACAATTGCTGGGGGGCGGGGGGTTCTGAAGACAGAACTTTGGAGGGCAGAGGCAGAAGGGTAACCTGGCAGCAGGCAGACAAGCAATGGTCATGAAGGCATAAAGATGGCTAGCCCTGCAGAATCCGTGGGAGAAGACTTTCTTTCATCTTAGCAGAACTGCAGGCAGTGGCCTCTAGTTCAAACTCCTACCCAAAAGTATAATCTGCTGACAAAATCTCCAGATGAGGATAGTCCATGCTGAAGATCACCAGCAGAATTGTTCTTTACCCAAAGGGGAATCGGCTTCAAAATCAGCAGGGGAGAAGGAAGAATGCGAAAGGAAATAAAAACGTGTACAAGAAGGGGCAGAAGAGTGAATCAGAAAGGAGAACAGATTAGGAGAGGAGAGTGGTGAGGTGCTCTCTGCCGGGCTTCTACCGATAGAAATCCTGGGTCAAGGTCACAGAGGCCTGGCCCGTGTTCCCAGAGCCCCCCTCAGTCTCTGGCGCCCACACTAGGGCTCCAGACTATAACTTTCATGACAACATTCGTAAGTCAACATTTCTTTTTCCCGTGCCCACTGTCTTATGATTGTTTACACGTTTGTCTCCCTCACCCTCGACCTCCACTCCACCCGGGCGCTCCCCCAGGGAGCTCCGGGGGCTGATTTTTATTCAAATACCTGTTGCCCATTGGACGAATGAATAAACGAATGAATAAATGAGAGAAAGTAAGGGGAGAACACCTTAGGTCCAGCACGGCGCCCTTTGGGAGCGCGTCCTCGAACCCTCCGCAGCCCCGCCCTGGGGATTGCAGCCTCGGCCCCCTCCCGGCTCACCCAGCGGATCCCGCGGAGCAAAGGCGCTGCCGCGGCTGGGCCCCACGCCGCCATGCCGGGCCGACGCGGCCCTCCGACCCAGGTCACCGTGTGGCCCGAAAGGCTTAGAACAAGGACAGAAAGCCGCTGGCGATGGCGAGGCCGCCCCCTACCGTCTGGAGGCCGGCAGCCC